CCAGGTGCAGACTGGTGCCTTCAGCTCATGTAGATCTGCAGGAGCCTTAAAAATCCAGCTTACCAACATGCTAATGGTTCTACTGACTCAATTACTTGTTAATGTAAGAGACACTGTGTAGATTTGAAGTCACTTCTCAGCTTAGACGGACACATTTTGCCTCATTTTGTAGCTCTGTTTTGGAGAGTTGGTGTCAACATCACATGTTATCTGTAGAGTCTTGTTGTGACATTTGTAGACGTACTAGTGGCTCTGAGAGACTATGAGACTGTACCAGACACTGCAAACACAGTGGAGGAGAGTAACTAAGTATATTTACTCAACTACTGCACTTACTAATATAGACTAATATAAAAGATGGACTTAGCCTGAGTGAAGCCAATCCCTTTAACCTGCATTCTTCCTAACAGCCAGCAGGGGGCGACTGCTCTAGCTAGATTGCATAAAAGTCTATGAGAACATGACCCGACTTTCTCACCTGATTTATCACCTCAGTAGACGTTTTCCTAAAAGGTTTATAGTATAAGTCACTAGTTTCAAGTCTTCTTAAATATAATAGGATGTTCATTTAGTGAATTATGGTCCCATTTTGAGTAAAATAGATGGTAGAGAAGAGCATGTTTTTGTGATTGACAGGGTGCTACTGTATGGGCGTATGTTGTGTCCTCGGGTTCTCACTCAGCTCTATACCTTGCTCCTCATGTCTGTTTATGCAAAACTAAGATATCGATTCCCAAAACGACGTCAAAACAGCAGCTAAATTCATCTTTTATATACAGTCTAAGCTAATATCTAGCAGGTATGATACCATTAGTTTGGTATTTGATCATAAACCAAAGTATCGTTGAGTCATTTTGACGTGAGCGTGACATAGCAACACACTGACTGTAGGTACTCAAGTCTAATCAATACAGGCCACATTCACTTGTGCTGTACGTGCGTGAACATGATTCATTTTGCAACCCGTATATATTAATATAGACGAGTAAGACGTGCTTTAGACTGGCTCTTGTAAAGACACATGGCTGAAAACCTGGAGTCAGGTTGAATTATTATTCTCGTCGGCTGCGAACACTATTCGTCTGCAAGCTTGTGTTTAACGAGAACATGTTGTGCGACGCAGCGGCTGCTTTTATAGTTTCTGTAGAGAGGAACAACACCGAGTGGTTCCATCAATCGATTCTAAGACGACCTGCGTCTGTCAAGTTTTGTTAAATAACAAAATCTAACGTGACCCTAACGTGACTTTTCCATTCAGACACAATTTCCATCAAGCATGAGACGAATATCCCAGATACAGAACGTGCCAGTCGGTGTCGTCCTGTCCTCTGTTAGCAAAAGTCACCACTTCAGATTGATGTCAGCTGACATGAGTAATCCTACAGGCAACACTGGACAGTCGAACCCAGCACGTACAGCACAGCGTATCAACACTGATCTGATCAAATGCATTGAATTAGGCCATATTATTAAATTACATTTTCTAAGCAGTGAATCCAAATTTCCTCCGAAAAGAGTCTGCGTGTTCTTTGTTGATGTGGATTTAAATGGGATTACTGCAGGCCTGTACAGTCTAACTGGGTTATCTGTGCTCCTGCTGCATCTAGAATCAGACCGCTGAATTATTACCAACCGGCGCGGCTCGTGAAAAGCCAGCCGATGTCAGATTTGTTTGAGGGTTGTTGTGGAGGAGATGATGTAACAATGAGCAGCTTTGCTCTCCACCAATCGGGAGTCTCCCTCGCAGCCCAAACCCCTCTCCCACCCTCCCAAAAAAACACAGGACGGCGCAGTTGGGCGGCGAGCCGACGTGCTACAGACGTGGCATGGATCGTGTGTGTGTGCACGTGTGTGTGTGTGTGTGTGTGTGTGTGTGAGGTTGACAGACACACACACTCTCTTTCACACAGATACAGATTGACAGACCAGGACATCCATTACAGATTTTTCCCCTCAACTAAAGGAAAAGCGCTCGAAGCGAGACGCTATAAATAGAACACTGTATTTTGATGATGTTCACATTCACTGACGTCGCTTCTGATTTTGCAGATTTTTAGCAAAGCATGAGCTCACAAACATACTGCTGATGATCTGATGACAAAAATGTAATTATGATATGAAGAGATTGTGCAGAAAAATGAAGATATTTGCTATTTGGGATTCTGAATGTCCGCCCACTGAACAGGTTGACTTCAGCATCGACCAGTGATAGATGATGTGTTATTTGTAAATTGGAAGTGTTGGTAGCAAAATTGGCACTTGTGTAATGACCCAAAATAAGGTCCATCCATCCATCATCTATACACCGCTTAATCCTCACAGGGCCACACTTAGAGACAGACAACCAAGCACACTCACATTCACACCTACTGACAATTTAGAATCACCAATTAACCTCAGCATGTTTCTGGACCATGTGGGAGGAAGCCAGAGAACCCACACTGCACGGGGAGAACATGCAAGCTCCACACAGGAACATCCCGGGTGTCCTCACCTGGATGCAAACCAGCGACCTTCTGGCTGTGAGGCAACAGTGCTAACCACTGCCCCACCTTGCAGCCCCCAAAATAAGCAAATCAAGCTGAACAATTGAGTTTCCTTTTCTTTCTTTCCTCATATTGGTTCCAAAGTTGACCTTTCATGTTGGTGTTTCCATCTATAAAAGTAACTCACAGGGTTAATAAACAGCTGGAATATGTTCAGATGTACTTGATTAGTTGCCGTTACATTCCTTCAGAGGACGAATTGGCCCGAGTTCCTTCAAAATAAAAGATCCAATTCAGCCCTCCGTTTAAGGCCAAGCGGTGATCACAGCAAGTTAGCTTGGCTGCTAATATGTCAGCACTTCCACTGTCTGACACGATCATATGGAAGCCATTATGCTGACTGTTCGTTCACTGCTAGGATTTCAAACTGAATTAATTGTTTTTGACAGCAAACCGATGGCCAAGTGGTCTCCGATTCAAATCCTGGCTGGGGAACGTTTGTTTTGTGTAATTTTCCAACATTTTTACATCCTTCTCTCCGCTGTTGCTGCCAAATAAAAGTACAAAAAGCCCCAAAAACGAACCTTAAAACAAATTCTGCACCATGAATTTGTAATGACTGACCCACTAGCGGGCTGAGGTGGGTTTAAAGAGGGTAAGAAAAGAAGACGTGGATGCACCAGTTGTAAATAAATTCTCCCAAATACTAAGGATACCACACACACACACACACACACACACACACACACACACACACATCTGCCTCACACACATGGCTGCCCCACCCCCTCCCCTGGATTCATTCATGCAGAGCGGCGTTATGTAAGAGAGTTACCCTCCTCTGCTACAACAGACATGTCCCTGCATCAACTCAGGCAGAAAAAGAACAAGGAGGAAAGAAAACATCAGCGAGGGCGACAGCAGGCCTCGGCGTGGAGCTCAACCTGCAAAACCTGTGGAATGCACACACACATCTACACACACCTAAACACACACACACACACGTTTAATCCGAGAGGACAGGATGCTTGTAAAAGGCTTTTTGCAGGACGATGGAGGGGAAGCGTGTTGTAGAGATAAAACCAGAGGATGATGTTTATGTTGCTCTGACATTGAAGCATCTTCATGTGGAGACGTTAAGCTGCAGATTGTAAAATATATATATATTTCTTTGTACATCTGATATGAATTTAAAAAAGACAATCTTAAAATCCACTGCTGCTCTCTGCGGTGTGATGAATGGCTGCGATGCGTGTGATGGAAGTGATCTTATTATAAAGCTAATGCGCAGTAATGACACTCGCAGACATTATGAATGGTAAATAAGATTAATTTCATTTGTATGGTGATGGTGAACCTTGATGGAATTTGAACAATAGAACGGATGGATCCAAAGTGCAAAAGTGCCCTCTAGTGGCAACTCTGAGCGCTGACACGCTTTTGATGTTTGGTTCAAAAAGGCTGGATCTCTAGAAGGTTCTCTCAGGTTTTAGAAACCTCCTTCAGAGACACATATTATACAGCTGCCAGGGCTAGAAAACCTCATTTGTTAAAAGGGTGGAGAGCTGTTATTCACACGTATAAACAAGCTGCATCTCTCTAGAAATCTAAAGTTAGGATACAATAAGATGTCTTATACCACTGTGGCATAATTTGCATTGTTACGGGCATAGTGCAAACATTTAAGGAATACCAGTAGAAAAATAAAATATAAATATATATATAAGTACTAGTTTTGATTGTCCAATACGTGCCTCTGTATGGAAATAAGAATATCACACATATCAATGGTATGGCACAGATTTGTCCGCAAGTAGAAAAATGACTATTTTGCACATATTCTGTGTAGAAAAAAATGATATTGCACAGAGCTTTTAAATGTACAAATATTCATAATTCACAGCTATGAATGCGTTGATAAAAAAATAAGTGTTTTGCTATTGCTGGTGGTAAATGTGGGGCTGCAAGGTGGAGCAGTGGTTAGCACTGTCGCCTTGCAGCTAGAAAGTCACCAGTTCATATCCCGGTGAGGACACCTGGGATCTCCATGTTCTCCCCGTGCAGCGTGGGTTCTCTCCGGGTTCTCTGGCTTCCTCTCACACTCCAAAAACATGTTGAGGTTAATTGGTGATTCTAAATTGTCCGTAGGTGTGAATGTGAGTGTGCTTGGTTGTCTGTCTCTAAGTGTAGCCCTGTGATAGACTGGTTACCTGTCCAGGGTGTCCCCTGTCTTCACCCTGAGTCAGCTGGGATAGACTCCAGCCCCCCATGACCCTAGTGAGGATTAAGCGGTGTATAGATAATGGATGGATGGATGTGATGCTGATGGGAAGAAGAATGCAGTTAGAAATACTGACCCTGCTCATTGTGGTCCTGCTGCTCCCTCTACAGGCTGATTACTATTTCACTATTGGGTGTTTTTATCTTCAGCGTTTCAGGATGTGAGTTGCTGCTGTTGAGTTAAACGTAATCAGACAGATTTGTTAACCGTTAAAGAAAAAACGACCACTCGCGTATTTTTCATAATTTATTACTGAATATATGAAAAAAGAGCTACAACAATCACCAGTGTCATTAGATAAAGTGCACTTCATAAGAGCGGTGTCATAATCTGTGAGACTCGATGAAAGCCTACCGACATGACCGATCACATCACGTCCTACTCGGTTAGCGCACATGATGATGAATCACAAGCCAACAATAATGCACGTCGTGACCGATATGCACGGATACACAGCTGCTGGTACAAATGGCATAGAAACAACACTTTGGCTCATATTACAAAGCATGCTGCTGTACAATATATAAAACCGCACATACACTCTGACGAACACGCACAGATGTAAACACACACCGATGTGCAAAAAGGTGTCGACTGAGAAGTTACCCGACGATGTTTTGAAGCTCCCGGCAAACACGTCTCACATTCTGGCAGTGTGAAATTACAATCAGATGGAAGGAAAGAGTGCACATCGTCTCCCAAAGTTGACGTTAAAGCAGTATTTTAGTAGATTGATACCACCCACATATGCTAAATACACGTGTAAGATGTAAACAATACCTCGTTTCCTTTGCTGCTCCAATAACATCAAATTAGATTAGCTTTAGCAATAAAAATCGAGCCGCCTTGCACGGTTAAATCGTGTAGAATTCCTCTATAAAGCACAATAACCGCAAGTTTTGACTGAGGCAGGTTTCCTAGAGGTCAAAAAATTTGTGCCGCTTCCTAAAACACTACAAGATATATTAAAATATTTCAACATCAGGCTAAAAATCATCTGATTCGATACGAAAAATCACAGTGTCCGCTCGAAATCCCCCTTTTTGGGAGTAGCTGGGACCGAGACATTTGGCAGTGTTTGCAGGAGTGAGGCCAAGAAAGGGCCAGGATGAAAAAATGGAGGCCTGATGAGCAAAGGCGGAATCACATCACTATTTTTTTTCTCCCCGCAATGATTGTATTTGTGCATATTAACATTCCCTTTGTACCCGGTTAGTCTTGAGCAGCAGGAAAACACACCAAACTGTACACAACGTGAAAGACGTGATCTGAGAGAGATAAATCCAACATTCAGAATATATGTGAGAGCACGTAAACACACTTTAGTGAATACAGTGTACCTGATTTTACACGTAAGCACATGTCAGTTTAAGAAGTGTATTTGAGCACGATTAAAATACCGTATGGATGTGTTAATAGCGTGTATTATTTTTGTAATGTAGATACGCTCGGTGCCGTCAGCCTCCGTCTCCGTTTCCACTCTTCCAGAACATTCCCTCACAGATCTGCGGCTCGTTCAAGCTGTAGAACTGGTGAAAGGAAGTGATGTGCGCTCGAGCGTACTCGTGTTCTCTCTTTGAACTTCCTTCTGCGCCTCACTTGTTCCAGAACCTGCCCTCGGCCGCCAGCCGCTGGTTGAGCCGGCAGAGCTGCCGGAGGAAGCCGTCGTTGGGTCCGATCTCCCTCTTCTGCCGCACCATGGCCAGAGCCGTGTGGACGTCCATGCTTTGGCGGAGCATCAGGAAGGCGATGACTAAGGTAGGCGAGCGGCTGTAGCCTTCCCTGCAGTGGACGTAGATTTTACCTGCGGAGTAAAAACGTTCAAAAGTTCATCAAAACACCCGACCCAAGTGGTATCTGACATGTTAAATAGTTTAAAGCTGCATTAGTTAGTTGTTCGGCCACCTTGGAGGCAGTGGAAAAAGCTGTAAACACAACGGTTTTACGATGTTACCATGTCAAGTTGGTATTGGTAACAGATCAGTGCGTATTTACTTGGAAGTGGACATTCATGTGGGAACAGAAGTCACTGATTTTATGCTTCTGGTCACCAAATGGTTTGTGTACGACTGTTTCGAAGCCTAAAGTTTGGCAAAGATGGATAGATGGATGGATAGATGGATGGATAGATAGATAGATAGATAGATAGATAGATAGATAGATAGATAGAACTTCAGGGGAATTGTTGATGATTATTATTGATGATTATTGTTGGCATCTTTTGAAACTGGACGTAACAAGCAAGTGGAGGATCTCGCGGGAAGACCTACGCGGGGGTATGCCTTTGCGATTGTCAATCACACGGTAGACCCTAAAACAAACCTGCTTTATCGTCTATTTTACTCTAAATAGGGCGTAATTTACTACATAAGCATCATAATGAATTGATGGAGCCTTGTGGCTATTGATTGAGTCCATGAACTCTTTAGGGAAATCTTGACTGAGGTAACAAATCAAGTAAGATGTGGGATCATGTTGTCATAGACTTCTATACAGTCTGACCACTTTCTGCAACCAGAGGAGGCGCCCTCTGCTGGCTGTTAAAAAGAATGCAGGTATAAGTCACTTCTATAAATAATAAAAAGAAAAAAAAAAAGAAAATGTGATCTTCTGAGGTTTTCAAATTAGGACCCATTGGAACGAATAATCACCAGCCACCCCCTCCCAACTATTCGAGATATTTGGTATTAATTGTGCCGAATATCCGGAGAACAGAAAATGCTAATGGGACCAGTCCTATTTCAAATACCAAGCAATAACAGAAAACCAGTCAGATAAAGTTTCTTTCAAATAGTATTAGTGTGGATGTTTCTTCAACAGTTCTCCCTTGTCATCCTGCCTACATGTTTCATCTCAGCTCTCTGACCTTTGCCGTTTTTGTAAGCCAGCGCCTTCTCGATAAAGTCTGCCGCCTCCTCAAAGAAAACGCTGATGTCGAAGTGGTCGGTGTCGCTGGCCTGCACGCCGTGGTAGATGATGCCAGTGCCGGCGTAGAACTCGGTGTTGGTGTTGACGTGCATGAATGAGTTTCCCTCTGCGGCGTTCAGGATGTGGGTGATGCCCAGACGCTTCAGGCGCATCACGTTGGTCGCCACAAATCTGCATCAGAAAAAGACAAATCCGCACCGTGAAGCTTATTTCACACGTGAATTTAAACTAAAGACTAGTGTCTGTACTCTCTGGATCTGCTACAACAGGTCTGGTTGTGTTTGGTTTAGATGACAAACTCAAAAACCACATGTCAAGGCTCTGGAGGTGGTTTTGATGGAATACAACATGGTAATTATGACTAAAAGAAGCTATTTTTGCTCCTTCTTGTGCTTTCTGACCTGCTCCCTGCCTTAGATCTACCCAGATTATCTGCTTGTTGCTGAAATGTAAACCAGGTACCTTGAATTTTACTACCTCTGTGTGCATGGATCTGCATTTGGGTGCTCATCTCTGTGGTTTGTAACTTAAACTGGGGCAGCAGAGATGACAATAGAAGCTAAATAAGTCATCATCAGTGCTTCACGTGGAAGCATTGTGTTGTTCAAGAACTAAATATAAATATAGATGTGCTCCCTAATGGATGTTTCAGCAGGAAAATGCTCCTTGCAACACAACAAACACCGTTAAAAAAAAAATGGTTTGAGGAACCTTATCGAGCATGTGTGGGATGTTTTGGAAAAACAAGTCTAGATCCACAGAGCCTCCACCTTTCAGAGGTCTGTGGAGCCGCAAAGAGCTTTTTTGGTGGCACAAAAGGGGCCCATATGATATTAAGCAGGTGGTTTTAATGTTGAAGGTGGAGCTAAAGTGAAAAAGTAATTCTATAGCAACCAACAAGAGGCTTTGTTGAAGAAATGTACCCATAGTTGTCATACAAAGTTTGTTGTTGTGGGGTGTTTATTAGTGTTCTGGTATACGGTGGGCTGACCAACACAGAGTCTGTGAAGGTAACCCTGAACATTTTAAACAGGTGGTCAGACAGTTGGGAGGGGACAGAATGTAAATACAGAAAAGAACAGTGATTGGTTTGCATATATTTGCTAACAGAAGGCGATTGATTGTGTTGTCTACACAACGAAAGGTGAGAGTTAAGGGTCTGGCAAGCAGTTACAAATAACAAAGATGTTGAGTTAAGGGTCTGGCAGACAACAGAAAAGGTTAGGGGATTATCAATGACAATAGTAATGGAATAATAAGGGACACTAGGGGTGGGGCGTGTATGCCATAAAAGATTTCTTCATCAGCTTCAACATCTGTACCCGCTAATATCAGTCGTTGCCATTGACGCTGTTTCTGAAAATTTAAGAGTTGCGAACCTCTCGTCTTCCCGTCTCTTTTCTCCCCCTCCCCATTCTCCCTTATATAAATTCACTGCTGTGCCACGGAGACGTGCTGCGCTTCAACTGTGAACTTGTGGGACTGCTGCCTCACTCGCTGCCTTTTTAGATGTGGAGAACTAAAAATAGAACCGCCGCCGCCGACTGATGCTGATACCGACAGCAGCACAGAGGAACCGGGGCAGATACATCAAAACACAGCACCGGCTCCCAGAGAGCGACGCGTGGGTGGATGAGCCGTGCTGTGAATACGTTTGTCCGTGTCTATATTTGTGAGGACATTTTATCAGTGAGACACAGTGTCTCTGCTCCGTCCGTTATGGCTTGTTTTTTTTTATTTTGAAAGGCAGACAGAATAAAGGTTTTCTCTCCTGGAACACACAGTTATGACTCACTGAGCTCAGAAATAAACACGTCTGAGAGCTTAAAGGCCCAGTGTGTAGGATTTAGAGGAATATATTAGTAGAAAATAGAATATAGGAGTCATGAGTGTGTTTTATTCGTGACTAATCAAAGCACCTGTAATGTTTCTACCGGAAACAAAATGGACAAACCATCAAACACCAGCTTCTCGTTTTTACATCAAAGTGGAAGCAACGATTGGCTGTAACGTCACCACTAAGTTCTTCACACTGGTCATTTAAAACTTTTAGTATGTAAGATTCAGAACACGGCTGTAGAGCGGATTGTCCTCCAATCACAAGGTTCGATCCCTGCCCCTCCACAGTCGAAGTGTCTTTGGGCAAGACACTGAACCCGAAGTTGCTCCCAATGGCAGGCAGCACCTTACATGGCAGCTCTGTCACCATTGGTGCATGAATAAAACACAATGTAAAGCGCTTTGGATAAAAGCGCTTTACAAGTGCAGACCATCGACGAGAACACGTAATAATTTCTAGCAAGTCTAGAATAGTCTCTCCTAACCTCAACCCACTCATGTAGAACAGTATGATGGATTTAAAGTAGCCCACACATGCATGTGTATTTCCTCCCTTTAATTCAGATACTTTGACGCGGCTACATTTTATTTTTGGTTGGTTTTCTCTACAGTTCACGGATCTAATCATTCCTGACAATCGTGTTTATCTAATCTTAACCGGTTCCAGGTTCAGTTTAACCAATCCTGCTATATTCAGACAGAGCCAGGCTAGCTGTTTCCAGTCTTAATGCTAAGCTAACTAGCCCTTGGTATTACCTTAGTGTTTTGTTGTTGTTGATGATTTCATCTCTCAGGTAGAAAGTGAACGAGCACATTTCTTAATATCTTAGGTTATCTGTATGGAGTCCCATTCCAGGTCACTTCCATGAAGCAGGGTCACTCGCAACAGACGTAAAAACGTAAAAACTCAATTCAGCCAAATATCTGCTGTTGGGTTGCCATGGAATGCACAGACATCAGTAAAACTTGTTGCAAACAAGCTCCTTATTTGCATGAGGAGGCTTCATATTTGTAAAACTGTCAACAAAAAGTGAGTTTTATTATAACGCCGTCTTCGCAATGTGAACTCTACGGGTCATGTGGAAGGACATGGACAGGACCAGAGGGTGAAACACTAACATGCATGTGCAGCGGGACATACAACGCTGAAGTAAACTTCCACAGCTGTAAAGTGAAGCCAAAACTGCAGTTCCTCGAATGTCCACTTGAGGCTCCAAAACAAGTTTGACCTCCATGTTAAAAAGCTCGACTTGACAGCAGACAGAAATGTGTTTACAGCCTCGAACAATGAACGGTTTTGGTCTCTATAGCTAATGTCAATGTTCACGACGACTGTGCTGTACGATATTTTTAATATATGTCACCTATTGAAATTGTATTAACTCTTAACGTTGTGTATAATTAATTGAGTGACAGGTGGGTGACGAGATGTGGGTGACATCACAGACTTTATATATCGTCTATAAAGCAAACCTGTATGCAAGAAACTTTTTTTTGGCTCATGTGCCAGCAGGAGCAATTTCTGGCGTCCTGTATCCAGTCCATCCATCATCAGGCTACTTCCTATGAATAATACTTTAAGAAAAGCTTTGGTTGATGTAAATCTGTTCAAACTGATGTGTTTTCAGGATTGATGCTGCTCAAGGTTACCCACAACCAATATTGAAAATCCCAGAATCGTGCAAATATCTTTCAGCTTTCAGTGCCTCTATGTTTTCCTTTTGTTCGATCCGTCTAATCCGATGCCGGAGCTCCGATGACTCATTGATGCCACTGAGGGGATTAAATGTGGAGCACGTTTCTCTGGATGTTTGAGCGCAACAGGAGGCGAACGGGTTAAACTCAGGAGCTATTTTCGACTCCCTCCGTTGCTGCCATCCATCCTCCATCTCTGCTCCATTTCACCCTTTTAAGTAACATTCCTCCACCTCTTCAAAAATTAAACAAGCTGCTGTCTGCTGCTTCCCATCATCTCCTTCCATCCCCGGCATGCCTTCATGCTTCAACCAGACAATAAAACAAGCCCTGCTATTTCATTTGATTTGTTTAAAATGAGGAAAATCTGCTTTAAAACACCAAAATACCGCCCTGTATGAAAACGTGTCTAAATATAGCACTGGGACGAGTCCTCACTGTGAATCAGGGTGTTGACTTTCTATAAATATCTGGATCTTTCCAGACTGAGTGATGGAAGATGCTTCCAAACACACACAATGCATCTAAAAGCAGCTTTACATAATGAACCTCCTGCTGCAGGTTTTAATGATTTTAGATGTGATTTAATCAATTTATAGGAAGTGATCATTTACTTTACTGTGTTGTCTGCATGCATGATCACATTAACAGAAGGATGCATGGAAATTAGAGGAATAAATGGTCACAAGTGTGGATTTATGGATGCACAAATAATGTCTTTTTGCGCTGCGTGACCTGAATTCGGAGGCGACAGGTGGTCTGTGGGGTGCAAATAATAATGGCTTCACGATTAAAAGAGAAAAAAAACAAATGTGAATGACAAGAGAGACTCACGCGTTGCCCACGTAGATCCGCGGGTAAACCTCGTGGAAGTGTTTGGTGGGCCAGCTGTAGAAGCCGCTGTCGTCCGTCAGCAGGTCGTTGAGCTGCTGGAGCGACACCTCGAAGCTGGACATGTCGAGCCGGTCCGGGGCCGCCGGCTTCACCTGCTGGCTGTGTTTGTTCTTCATGTTCCGGAGAGACGAGCCTGAAGGTGGCGGACAGGTGTCGGTTTACCAGCCGTCAGAACCGAGGACGGGGCAGATCTGCTCCGTCAGAGTCTGAGCGCTGGAGAGCGAACAGGCGTCCAGGGCCGGAGCAGGGTTCTGGGAGGCCCAGCATCAGGGGTTCCCCACATGGTTCAGAGCCACCCCAGGGTCCAAAATAAAAATAGTGTAGTTACAGTGATTTAAGCCCCTTTTCAGACATTAGATCTGGATTATTGCTGCTTCATCGATCTGTTAAAGTGATTCTAGTCGTTCACACTCACGTGTAGGTTTTATACAGAGTTTAATAAATGTGTTAGACCATCATCCAGTGTGAGATTAATGCCATTAATTAATGATATTATTTACCAGAATAATTCCTTATGTTTCCGTCATGGTTAATACACCAGTATGTAGAAGATTTTTCACCAAAATGATGCTTTTAATGCTAAAAATCAAATTATTATTGTTATCCAGGAATTTACAAATTTACTCTTTTTTTAAAAAAATAAATAAATAAAACTGAAAAAAAATATTAAAACACATTATTATTTCTTGATTAAGATGTCAAATTATAGTTATTTGCTTGCATTTCTCAGCAGAAAAAAATAGTTGTAGTGGTTGAATGTTATGCTTGATTCATTTCTGGCTTCTCAGAGACGTCCAGTGACTCAGATTTGGGAATAAAAAGTTGAATTCAGTTTTAAATTCCTCATTCATGTTCAAAATGGTAAAACATGGAGAGCTAAGTGCGAGTTAAAGCACTTCATGATGCTGGATTAACAAATCAAGCTTAACAAATCCATGAGACCACCTGTCTGGTTTGTTAAGCATCGTATATATACACTGATGTATAACCTTTTTATTGTTTGCTGTCCCTGTTTTTGGTCAGTTAGGATTCCCCAAATTATTTCTGTTTGCTAAACACCAGAATAATGAGAGAGATAATTTGTTTTATTACATTCTTCAAAGTCAGAAGCTGACGTCCACTAAGACGCCTTCAAATTATTTGAGAAAGCCCAGATGATGATGATGTCATGGCTTTGAGAGCTTCTGATTGGTTAACTGACAACATGTAAGTTAACTGGAGGCTCACCTGTGGATGTATTTTAAATCACCTGCGTCTTTGTTGGAACGAATCATATTTTGGTGATGAATGTAAAATTAACTGAACTGGTGAATTGTGGAGAATCTGGCCGATCTAACCATGTTTAGCACGTTTATATCAACAGATTTTAAACATTTATTTCTTGTGTACAATGTTTAGAATCCATTACACACTAAATGCTGTTTGGCAATCTATTTAGTTTCGGTACCTCTGGGCAGATCCAGTCTTCATCGTTATGGGTGGAACAATGTCCCAGTTTGGTCAAGAAGTGATTGTGTTTAAAAGACACTGATGATAGGTTTCATTTGGAAACATGAGACAAACTCTGATGTTTTGTTGACCCATCCATCTACCTTGAGCTCCTCCTTTCTCGCTCAAACAACATCCGTTTGCTTTAGAAGAACAGAAGTCGGAGGGTGTTGCTACTGTTTTTTTAGGAGGACAGTCTGCTGCATTGATCTACAGAAAAGACTTTTACTGTGCGAGAGATTTTTATTGATATACAGACTTTAAAGAAACAGTTCAGTTACGAGGCCTACGATGCTTTTTTTTTTTTTGACAGCATAATTAAATCTAAAGTGCAAATGTCGTCAGTCAAGCATTAGTTGGGAAGAAGAAGTCCTGCCTGCGCCGGTGAGGCTCCTTCGGCGGCTCGGCTTTGAGGGGAAACAGCTTCAACAGAAGGAAAAGATAAAGAGGAGGTTTTATACCAAAGGTTGTGAGTCTTTAGGTGGTGATGCCAGACCAGCTGGGAACATCTGAGGACGTGTTTTTCCATCCAGAAATCGATTAGTGAGGCTGCAGCTCCTCTATGAGAAATTTTGAATTGCGAGTCAGTGAAGCTGTTGTCTGATGATGTCTAAATTTAGATGTTTCACCAGGAGGAACTTTTTACATTTTTTATCTTTGCTTTTTGGTATTCAGGTTGTGAAACGGGCTAAAAGTTCAAATAATTAATGTCTGTTTCACTCCTCTTTATCTTCACCCTCTGCAGCCTCATGATGGCCTCCGTTAGGATGGTAAAGGATGTCTAGTGCGTGATGTTACAGCAGCTGGTAGACGACACGAGCTTTCAGAACCGTCTCCTCCCTCTGCAGAGCCACGCCGGCCGCCTCGCGCTTCAGCACATCTCGGGTTGCATCCTGGCCGCCCGGCAGCGCAGGACTTTCAGGAAGCTGTCAATCTTGTGGGAGTCGCGGCGGAAGCAGGACAGCAGGAAATGGAAGTTGATCAGTTTGGAGATCTTGTCGTGGCCGAGATCGTTGCCTCCTCTGTAGGGGAGCAGGGACGTGGTCTGGGCAGCCGGACCCATCTGGGAGGACCAGAGTCAGGAGAGCAGGGTTAGTGAACAGAAGGTTAGAATGTTTTTAGATGACCGTTTAGCTCGGCACACCTTTCCAGACAGCACATTGAGACCGTCTCCCAGGGTTTTGGAGTGCTCCTGCAGCTCCTGGATCTTGTTGGAGATGCTGTTCTGGGCCGGGTGAGGCAGCGTGTTGGCGGAGGAGGACAGGACCACCAGGGGGTCCTGCCAGGCCTGGAGCAGGGAGCGGGCCAAAGACAGCAGGTCGGACTCCTGGAGGGGAGGTCCAGACAGTAACACAGTCAGCTGACGGGTGGTCGAAGGAAATTAGATTTAAATGAAGAAGATTTTACGAAGCCGATAGAGATTTTCTCACAATGAAATCAACGCTATCTCATTTTTCAGGTTGTATTCATCCATTTTCATGCTTTCACACTGAAATCAGATATATTTTTTGTGCAACACAGCTTCAAAGAACACTTTGATTTACATAAAGTCTCTTGATTAAATTGCACCTCAGCTGGCATAAACACAGGAATGTCCAATTTCGCACCATCAGCTTTGCTTTTTGAATCTTTGGCTGCAAATGACTCCAGATTTAGAGCCATATAACGGCCGTTTTAATCGCTTTTAGAGCTTTCACTTTAGTTTTTTGGATGAAGGCTGGTGAACATCTGAGATAAATCCAGTTCAGTTTCAGCTGATATCACAGTGCCTGCTGAATGGGAAAGCCAATCTGAGGTATGACAGTGAAGGAAGGACTGGACAGAAAGCAAAGAATAAGGTTAGAACGGACATAAAAGTACACGAGTCGTGGTTGATTTGTGTTTTTTGGCTCAGGAAGGTTCCCAACTGAGTGAAATGAGGCAGAATATCTCCTCAGCAGCTATGACAAGAGCTGCTCTGATTCATTAAACGCTAAGGAAAGGTGCTTCGGTGCCGGACCAGCTTTATGATCTGTCCTGTCGTTTTTACGGCATGATTCTGCAGCCTGGTGTGAGTTCAGTCAGATTCTCTTCCCACCTCTGTTGTCGTTTGTCCTCATGAATCCTCCTTCACATCTCTCCAGGAAAATAGTTTATCCTTCTATCCTTAAGGAGCCATTAACACTTGAGTTTCGGTTCTGGGGGAGGAGCAACAAACCCCCAATTGAAACCCAAATTCAGGTGTTAATGGCGCCTTAAGGATATAAGTATCTGGAACTCCCAACTAGTCAATCAGAGCTGATGAAGCCTCTTGGATGAGAGGTGGAATGTAAAAAAAAAAAGACGTAATATTCCAGCCCCAGACTAACTTACGGACACTTGGAGAGCTTGCTCCTTGTCGTTGGGCGTCTGAAGGGAGGCGGTGTGGCACATCCCAGGGCGTGGCATGATCACCCTGCCTATAGGAGGGAAATGAGAGTCCTGGGAGAAACACACGAGGATTATTAGAGTGACAAATGCATCTTCCACTGTGATGGAAAGCTCCCAAACTGCAGTCATGCATGAATACAAAACTGGAAGGTTTTAAATCATGTAAATCCTCTGGAGTTCTCAGGAGTTTAGCTGAATATTTCATCTGTAGAAGTTGCCCTCGTGCAGCATGTTGTGCCTGAAAAGTTCAGTCGGGAAGCAGAAGGAGGTTTAGCCTTCGTAGAGGAAGCGGCACTGACCAGCTCCTGGGTGAGCGTCGTGCTGAGGGAGTGCAGCCTGTCGGAGCGCTGAGATGCTCGGTCCAGCAGGTCGCTGACGGGGACGGCTCTGCACGCTGCCACCACGTACAGCACTGGAGAAGCCACACAGTGTTTGTTTAATATGGGTTTTTTTTTTTGCTTTTTACTCCTAACTTTCTCTGACTTATTCATTCGTGTATTCTCTGATTCTTTTGTTTAGTTGTTGCAGTTTTATGTAAAACACTCTGAGCTGCATCTCATCTGTAAAAGGTGTTATACAAATATGAATTCTTATTATTTTATTAGATATTCTGCCTTGACATTGAAATAACTCAGACAGGTTCCAGTCTGGCAGCACTGCAGCAGATATTTAAGTGTTTTCTGAAGGATTTCATGACTAAAGGATGAATTTGTTCTGATAACAAAAAGCAGAATCACTACACTTATGAGCAGTAAGTATAACAACCTGACTGATACTGGATTTAAAAAAAAAAAAAAAGTTAATACAGGTAGAAATATCTTTTGCCTTTAAAGACCCAAGCTCTTGTTTGATATGCTTTTTTTTTTTAATTATTATTTCTCTTTGCTATTTGATCAGATCAAATAGCAAAGAGAAGAAAAGTTTTTTTTAAAATGCAGACAATAAAAATATATTTTTAAAAAATCTAAAAATAACAAAAATAAAATAAACACCAATATACTAATGATAATAATAATAATAATAATAACATAAAAAAATTGGCTACTGTAGTAATATAACCCAAAATGTGAGTCTTAAGAGGTTAATCTGCAATATTTCATTTTCATGTGGGATATCACTTATTACCTCAGTGTAATTGCCAGCGCTACTTTTAAATGTTCTATTCTAGCCATATTGTAGCTCACTTATTC